ATATTTATAGCGTGCCCTGTTGCACGCGGGGCCCACAGGCAGTGTTTATTAGCCACTCTCGTTGGCTCTCTGTCTGTGGATAAATGTTTTCCATCTCCTGTTTTATGCGTGAGGACAATGGGGCCCCGGAAAGGGGAAGCGGAGGACCCAGGATCACATTGGGAATCGCAGCGGCAGGTCTAAGCCAGAAACCGCGAATTCGCATCTAGAGTCAGCCAGAGCCCCAGCCGTGGGGACAGACACTACTGTCTCCATGAAACCACTTCCCGATGGTTTCCTCCAGGTTTTTTTCTGTGCAAGCCCAAGTCACCCCAGGCGCCATGAAGGGCACAGCTACGCCAGGTCCTGTGCAAAGGGCAGCTGCCTCTGTCCCCATCTCTGTCCCCACCGCCTTAGTATTCCTGCTTCCCAGCCCCCCACCCCCTCTGGGGTTTCTGTTCTTAATTGTGATCATTTTTGGATTTTAGTCCCTGAAGGAAAGCTACCGAATACTGAGGCATTGCTGTGCAGAAAACCAGAGGAAGCCAGGTCTCTAGGAAAAGAAAGAAGTGATACTTGTTACTTGATACTCTTGGGCGAGAAAGCAAAGCCATGGTGTAGGACTAAAAAGATTGGGTTTGATACTTTCCTTCCTACTTGTAGTCACGTTGTTGCTCATTGTAAAAATCATTCTGCTTGTAGAGTTAACCACCCATTAGTGAGTAAGAGCTGTTCCCACTAATTGGGGGGCCCCATGGGGAAAGCAACATAGTTAGAGGTTAGAGTCAGGGAACCAGCTGCCCTTGAATTCTATTTCTGGTTCCTTAGCCAACTTGCTGTGTGGCCTTAGGCGATTTTCCTTCATTTCTCTGGGTCTCCTTTCCCACAATAAGAAAAATCCTCACTCTTCTTGGGGGATGGGAAAAGATCAAAGAAATTTTGTTTGCAGAGTTTTGGTTTTTTTTAAAAAAAAAGATGCCTAGACGAAGTGTATTAGAAAGGCCTTGATTTCATAGGTATTAATGAATACATTCTTTGGCTATTGATGGAACTACCTATTGTTGCTTTTAATCAGCTGCATAATTGGCTGTAGGAGTTACACAAATCCTAAGGGAGCCAGCCGGGTCATACTGATGCTCATTATGAGTGTCTGGTGTGTCTTTAATGTGGCCTTGCAGAGCATGTTGGTATCTTGATGTGGTGGCAGGTGGTGACGGCTGCACCGATAGCCAGTGCCCAAGCCAGGGGGGCTCCCCTGAAGTGGCACAGTCAGGGGCTGCCCCGAAACCAGCATGGTCGGAGCCCACCTTACCTTGTTTCCACGAGGTCGGCAGGTGAAGTGCATTCTGACTATTGTTCTGCTTGTTGTTTTCGCCGTGCCAGCCTGGGTGGGGTGTTTAGCAGGCAGGGCCTCCGAGCTGCGGGGTGCTGCAAGGGCCATGGGCAGAAACGCCCCAGACGCCATGAAGGGCACAGCTACGCCTGGTCCTATGCAAGGGGCAGCTGCCTCTGTCCCCACCGCCTTCGTATTCCTGCTTCCCAGCTCCCCACCCCCTCTGGGGTTTCTGGATCCTTCTAATGTCCCAAGGCAACAATCCTATTCTGAAAAACAACCCATTCCTTCACCCCTCCTTCCTAGGATTGCATTTGCAAAATGAAAATAAAATAGGAAATTCATGCTTAAAGCAGACATCAAAGGGAATCCACTGTTCTGCGCCCTGTTATAAAAATCTCTACTGACAGTGGCTCATCCTAGAGAGATGCCAGGGAGCCGGGACTGCAGGGCCGCCACTCGGGGCAGAGGCTGGGGCGGGGCCCGCCGCTGACTGCAGGTGGTTCGGTCCGGGTGCTCTGGCAGACTCGCGGCTTTCCACGCCCAGCAGCATGAGGGAGCACTTAAAGGCTTCGTGTGTGTTTTATTTTGCATGGAAAGGAGGGAAGTGGAGCTGCCAGGGAACCGAGTCCTCCGAGCATCCTGCGCTGGGGCTCTCCGTCAGCCGGGGATGGCACTGCGGAGTGTTCTCGAGCAGCTCACACCTGGCTTTGCTTTCTTTCCTCCTTTCGGAGAGCTGGAGACCCTCCCCGGGTCTGCCCGTCTAACCCCATGGGCTGCCGAGCCCAGGACGGAGCCAGCTGCACGCCGTGTGAACCCCAGAGCAAACTGGAAATGTGGGTGCCTGGGTCAAGACGTAAGAATGTCCAGATGGCAACAGCAGAGCACGAAACCCAGCCTGAGCTACTTCTGAGAAGGGTCACACGCCCGCAAGGCTGGTCCTGCCCAACTGGTCCCACTTTGCCTGGGCAAGGGACCCCCACAAGGTCCAGCCATCTCCCATCCACCTCCCTTGCTTGAGAGGAAAGGGAGTGGGAGAATAAGTCTTAAAGATTTCCAGCACACACATAATCTAATTTTATTTTATTTTTTAGCCCCAAAGCAGGGCTTGAGGTAGGACATCTAAGAAAAGAATCATTCTGGTTGTTGTGGAGTTATTCTCTTTTATTTGCCTGGATTTGGGAGAAGTAAGAACAACTAGGAGTCTCGGTAAGATCTGAGTTCACTCGCTCTGTGCCAATACTGTGCTAAGGATCTGTTGCTGCCAAGATCTACCTTAGAGGGGGCATTGTGGCCATTTAACAGATGGGAAAACTGAGGCTAGGGGCAGTGCTGTAACTTGCCTTAGGTCCGGCAACCTGGAAGTAGGGGAGCCTAGATTCGAATAGATGCGGCCAGACTGCAGAGCCTGCGTGTCTGCCCACTTTGCTGTGTTTACCACCCGGAGTTCGTGAGGCCAATATCACGGCATGTGTTAGTTCTGGTGTTTTTGTGGCTGCGTTCTAAGTTCAGGTGGAATGTCTATAAATACCTAACAGCTGGGGACCAGAGAGGAACTTTGGGTGCTTTCACTAGCGATTTATCGTGGCCGAGCATCACATAGGAACATGGGACCCAGACCTGTGTATCTGAGTAACAAACGCTCTATCAGCCTTGAATCTGTGACCAGAGACCAAGTTGTCTGAGCCAGCATAGAGCTTTGTCCATTTCATTTCCTTGAAATGTCTCTCCACCCACTTGGATTTGACCCTTAAAAGAGAAATAATAGTTTCCTTGGGCTTCAGAGCAAAATGCACTCTGAGCTGGGAACAAAAGAGGTAGCTCTATAATAAGAGAAAATAGATGAGCCAGGCATGGTGGCTCACGCCTGTAATCCTAGCACTCTGGGAGGCCGAGGTGGGAGGATCACTTGAAGCCAGGAGTTGGAGACCAGCCTGAGCAAGAGCGAGACCCTGTCTCTACAAAATATAGAAAAATTCGCCTGACATGGTGGCGTGCACCTGTAGTCTCAGCTTCTTGGAGGCTGAGGCAGGAGGATCGCTTGAGCCCAGGACTTGGAGGCTGCAGTGAGCTGTGATAACACCACTGCACTGTAGCCTGGGTGACAGAGCAAGACCCTGTCTCAAAAAAGAAAAAAAAAAAAAGAGTGAGAATAGATATCCTCCTTCCTAATATTTACACAGACAAAATAATTTTCAAATTCTGGCGAGGAGATTGTGAAGATAAAAGAATGCAGCCAGTCTGGAAATAGTATTTATTCCAGCCCAGTTTGACCTGGGGAATTGGTGCCGTTGGTTAGCCACTGGCTGGCAGTGTCCTGGCGTGGAGGGCGGGGTTGGGTGGACACAGCGAAGTGGCCGTGGCATTGTTAGAGGGGGAGGAAACATGAGCAGGTCAGAGAAACACAGGAGCCTCAGGTCTGAGGTCCCTAGATCTGCAACGAGACCCCCAAAAACCGGATGCCTCGACTCTGTCTGTGGGCAGAAAAAGGGCAGGACCCCGGGGAAGAATCAGCCCTTCCCAGGAGGAAAGACAAGAGCAAGGTCCCTGCTTTACCCTTGCAGCAAAATAAACTCCAAGTCTATGGGAAGGGGACGCAATACCCATCCAGTATAAAGACAAGTGCTTGTGCATGTAACTTGAACCTCTTGTGGCATGTCCCAGAGGGTCAAAGTAACTTTCCTTCTCATCCGATGGAAGGAGCTCTGTTCCTGGAGCAATCAGCTGGAGCCCTGATTACTTGCAAGCATCACAGGCAGCTTCTTAGTTGCGGGGCTCACTGGTGATGGAGGGTGACCTCCAAGGAGGGCCCCCCATTCCTCGTCTCACCCTCCCCCCGGCCAAGCCCCAGGGAGCCTCTGGCCACAGTGTCCTTCCGGTGGCAGCAGAACTCTTGGTGGTTGTTTTTGTGTGCGTGTGTGCGTGTGTGTGTGTGTGTGTGTGTGTGTGTGTGCGCGCTGCAGCAAGAAGAATGGGCTCTGACAGGCTCGCACTGTTATCCTGAGCCGGCCTGCCCAAGAAATACGGTTCCAGCAGCCTCCGCCCTCTGCGAGGCTCTCGCACATTAGTGGGCAGGAAGTGGAGTCCCGAAGGGAGGCTGGGAATTTGAACGCCTTCCCATTTCAGCACTTGCAGGGAGGAAGCCCGGCTCCTGCTCCTCCGCTCTGCAGGCGGACGCCTCCTGCTCCCTCCTGAGAGCCTTTCTCTCCCCTCCACTCCGCTCCAGCCGCTGCCCCTGCGCTCCCCCGCTCCCCTCTCCTCCCCTCTCCTGGGAGGGAAGAGTCTGCCAAGCTGGGGACCGTCATCGTGGCCAGTGCAACAGAGGCGGACCCAAGGGGAACAACTTGAAAAGAACTTGTTTTGTTCCCGTTGAGAAACCTGCAGGAAAATCCACACCCACGGGGCCTGGTTTTGAACTGGAGAGCTGTGTGTGTGTGTTTGCATGTGTGTGTGTGTGTGTGTGTGTGTGTGTTCGCATGTGTGTGTGTGTGTTTCAAGCAAGAGGAGGAGGAGGTGCAAACAACTGCAGGGTCTCCACTTTGATAAGGAAAGTGCCAGCTGTTGGTCTCCACTTTGACAAGGAAGCTGCCAGCTGTCCCGAGTTCACCAGCAGAGCGGGGAAGACGCCGCCGGGCCGGCCCCGGGCACCAGCCGCTCCTGAATTTAAACAACGTTGTTTTCTGTCCAGATATTCCAGTGGAGACAGTTGGAAAACCTGTATTTCAGAGAAAAGAAGTTTTCCGTGGAAGTTCATGACCCACGAAGGTAAGCTGACAAGTCCTCTTCTTTCGGGGGAGGGCATGGCTTGGTGGCCGGGCATGGGGGTTAGCTTACTGTTGGGGGGGCTGCCGTTGGGGAGGAGGGTCCGTTCGGGGCAGGGAGAGAGGATGGTGGCTTGTGGAGAGCAGAGTTCACAGGAGACAGGAAAGCTTTGTTTTGTGACGGTTCGTGTTGATAAACGCAGCGTGTGTGTGTCTGTCTGTGTGTGTATTTGCCTTACCTGGGAAGCTCCGTGGCTCTTTGTAACAAACAGCAAAGTAAACCGGGCAGTGGCCCAAGTCCCCTTCCTAAGTCCCCTCTTAGGAAGCTTTTGCCACCAAAGATGCTAAAGACTCCCTTGTCAGAGCTTCTAAGAGCCTTTCAGGCAGGACCGTCAACCCCAAAAGCGGTCTGTGCCTGAATCGGTTGCACTTGATTGTTTTATTCCGGGAGCTGTAAATGTAGGGTAGTGGGTGGATGTGAAGGCAACACGGCTCTGGTTCCCTCCATCCCACACGGTACCCCAGGGAGCCCCGTGTGTTGTAAAAATCCGTGCTCTCCACATCAGAGGACAGACAATGGGGCCCCGGTCTGGAATGCAGCGAGCCCGGCGTGGCCCGGGGCAGGGCAGCCTGTGCCCGCTCTGTGTCCCTCTTTGTCTGCTGCCCGACCTGGAGTGGCAGGCAAGCCCATAAACTGCAGCAGAATTCCCCAAAACCAGGGCCTGGCACCTAAGGATAAATCACTCCCCCTGGGTCTGAAAACAGATTTACAAGACAGTAGCCCTGGGGAGACAGTAAAAAAAAGAAAAAGACTTTATGGGGTAGCAAAGGTGGATTTCAGGCGCCGTTGACACCCCAGCCCTGGGCTTGGAAAGAGGTCTTGGCTCCCTCTGCACCTCACACGTGGCTTCTGACGCCCCAGACAAGCCGCTCTGCCTCCCCGTGGGCTCTGGGCACGTGGAGAAGCCATCAACACCCCCTCCCCCGCCACGGCGAGAAAGCTCGTGCCTGTGCAGTAGCCTCCACCCCTGCGGGCCGCGATAACCCGGTAGGAGGATGTGCTGCCCTCCCCGCTGTGTAATCTGCCGGGAACAGCCGCTGCCTGTGCAGAGCCAGAGCTTATCCCGGCCCGCAGTGACTGCAGGGCTGGCCACGGGAGAGGGTTATCCAGTTCCCATCCCTGCAGTCAGCTGACGATGGTGGCCTTGAGCAGAAGAATAGTTGGTGCAGGTTCTGGGGGTCCTGCAGAGGGTCCTGGGCTCTGAAGACCCCCCCATTGGGGCTTTATTAATTAATTAATATTTTTATTATTATTTATTAATTATTAATACCATTCCAGCCAAGAAGAAACGCACCGTTCTGTTTCTAGGTGAACCACATGGGGCCGGGTTCTTAGGGGTGTGAGAGGAGGGAAATCTTAAGTGTGAATGTTGCAACAACGGGTAGGGCGCAGAACGGGATGTTTGATAGAATAAAAATGAGCAAGTGGGTAATCTAAGGAACTGAGCGCGATGGACAGACCCCTGTGTGCCTGTGCTCTGGTGGGAATTTTGCAAATTCCCAGGCACCGTGGACACCTCCTTTCCCTGTATGTGTGTGTGTGTGTGTGTGTGTGTGTGTGTGTGCGCACGCGAGTGTGTGTGTGTGTGTGTGTGCGTGCGAGTGTTCTCTCTGCATCTGTCACCCTGCCAGTGAGTGACACTAAACTTCCTTCTCTTTCCTGAGGCCCAGAGACGAAGGAAAGGATCTAAACCTCACACGTGACTATTAAGTGGGCTTTGATATCATGTTTGTCGAGAAGCTTCTATGCTTGGGTGCTGTGTGAACTGAGGCAGGGCAGGGAAGGAAGGCTGAAGCAGGGTCCTCTTCCTTGAAGAACTGCCAGCATGTTTGGGGAGACGGGCGGAGGAAGGAACTTAAGCTCGGGGGAGTGTCTGCCATGCCCGGGCCCTGTTCCAAACACAAGCACACAGTCCCTCACTGGGTCCGCCCTGGGAATGGGTACCGCTGTTAGTCCTATTCCACACGTGGGAGATGAAGTCACCTGCTCTAGGTTACAAATAGTACGTGGCAGAGGCGGGATTCGAACCCAGGAAGTCTGTCCACAATGCTCACGCACTGGACCTCCACACTGTACGGAAGGGCCACGTGGCACAGGCCATCGATGGTGAATGACAGGGTCACCAGAGGCCTGGCTGGGCAGGGAGGAGAGGTCTGAGCTGCGTTTGTACAGGTGACTGGGATCAAAGCCAGCAGTGGGCCCTGGAGGGGATGACGGTGGCAGGTGGGTGTTCCTGGACTGGGACAACAGGAGGTAGGGGCATGGTCATCTCTCCTCCGACGCAGCACTGCCCTGAGTACCCCACGTGATCCTAAGGTCAGGCAGGGAGGTGACAGAGAGGCCCAGGGAGGCCAGAGTGGAAACCCAAGTTGACTTCATCATTAAAGATGCCTTTTCCAGACTCCCAAGGAGGGGGAATGGCTTTAGGGCAGCCACTTACTGCCGTGGCTGAGCCAGAGATACGAGCTGTGAGGTCCGACTCCCACCCGGTCCTCTCGGTGCAGCCTCGTGGTGCATTTGGGTTTTGGCCGTGCCCACCTGCGGCGTGTTGCCTTGCTTGATTAGAGAGGGAAGGTGACTCTGCCTGGCCGTCCCTTGCGATGGTGTTCAGCCCCCCTCCCCCTCCTCAAGCCAGGCAGGGAGTCAGAACACAGTAGAGGGGTGGGAAGCGCCAGATGCAGTCGCTCAATGAAGATGTCATCGGTGGAAAGTGCGACAACAGGGACTCGCTCGGGGCGGCAGGTGCTTTCTGAGTTGCTCGGTGCACGTGTGATCACCCCTTTCCCTCTTGTCTTTTTTGCTCTGGACACACCTCGGACTTTCTCCTCCTCTACATCCTGATTCGACCCGTACCTTTGCTTCTGAGGTTCTCCAGGCGTGGCAGATATTCCATTTGTAAGGTTTAGGCAAAATGGCAAGGGCTCGAAGGGAAAGATGAGGAGATAGATTAATAACAGAGCAGGAGAAAAACTCTCAGGGTATCTGATGTAGATGTTCCCAAGGAACTGCCCAGACCTGACCGGCCACTTGGCTCCTCCCCTCTCGCCGTACCTGCAACGTGGAGGTACCCCACCTCGTGCAACTCTCCCCACCTTTATTAAATACATTTCAAGATACTTTTCTTCTTTGATGCAGCTATTCTGGGGGCAAAAATTCATTTATTCCCAGGAGCAGCCACTGCTATGAAAATCAAACGGGGAGCTCAGATCTCTGTTTCTTTTTAAATCTACGGAGATCCCTTGGGGATTGGGGGGGTCCTCCATCACTTTCTTGCTGCCTCCTTTTCAGTGATTTCCAACTGTGTGGTCTTTCATGGACTGGCATTTTTTCCCCCTTAACTTTTGTTTAAACCAATGGGAGGACAAAACCTGCCTAAAATTGGTATCATTACCCACACACCAGATTTGAATTTCTCCCTAAAGGTGGGCGTGGAGAAGACCCCACTGTTGAATCTCAAGTCCTCAAAGTAAGACGATGCAAAGCAGCTTTCAATTTTCTTTGAGAGAAAATTCGCCATGAAAAAAAAAAATGCTGCCATTCACAAGTCTGGATTACCCTAAGTTTCTTCCAAATTAGATAGCTCCATCTTGAGAACACACATTTATCCTCTGACGTTCAGGTCAAATGCTGCAAATGCCACCACACCTTCCAGTCACCTTGTCACACACACACGTACAAACACATACACAGGTGCACAAAGATGCACGTGTAAACACACGTTCTCAGATTTCATTTGCAAGATAGTCTCCCTAGCCCATAAAATATACTTGCCTGAGAACACGATCACATAATGGTTTTTTCCCCCCTCACTCTATTAATATGGTATATTAAATGAGACCAGTATTTCTCATTTTTGTTTTCATTTTTATTTATGTATTTATTTTAGAGACAGGTTCTCCCTCTGTCACCCAGGCTGGAGTGCCGTGGTGTAGTCATAGCTCCCTGCAGCCTCGAACTCCTGGGCTCAAGCGATCCTCCCGCCTCAACCTCCCAAAGTGCTGAGATTACAGGCATGAGCCGCTGTGCCTGGCCCCATTTTCATTTTTCAAGTCCATCTGCTTCTCTCTGCTCCATACACGGGGTGGGGAACTGGCTGGGCTCATTTTTCTCTGCCTTTCCTCCCTGCGGTCTGCATCTATTTGAAATCGATAAGCAAACTTTCAAGGAACACTGAGTTAGAGCGACTTAGGAAGTCCTGGTTCCTTGGCATGCTGTGCCACATGCCCATTAGAAAGGACTTTACTCATCCTCACCGCAGGCAGCATCCGTACAAGGAGCATTGTCAAAGGTTTTCCTGTCTCCAAAGTTTGCCTTGGCCCCGTGCCAGGAGCTGACGATCAGAAGGGACTGTCCAGTGACCCAGAATGACCCATCTTATCCCAGACAAGGCACACAGGCTTGGCGAAATTCTGAGCCCTAAGGAGTCTGTAAATCAGAAGTGGCCTTTGCCAGCCAGCGTCCCTGAGCGTGTCTGCCCGTGAGTGTGAGTGTGTGTTTCTTCCCATGTTTATGCATGAGCTCACCTGTCACCTGGACGCCAGGGCTTCTAGGACCCAGTTGGTTCTCTACAAAAGCTGCTGCCTGAGCAATGTTTTCCCTCGTAAGAAACGTGGTCGAACCTCGTGATTCTTGCATTCTTTCCCAGGGCTTCGGTGACCAGGAGGACGTTTGGGCACAGCGGCATCGCGGTGCACACGTGGTATGCGTGTCCGGCATTAATCAAGTCCATCTGGGCCATGGCCATCAGCCAGCACCAGTTCTACCTGGACAGGAAGCAGAGCAAGGTGAGTGGCCAGCCCTTGCACCAAGCTGTGAGCTGGCCTGAGGCCAGCCGCTCTCTGAGTTTGGGGATGAGAATGGGATGGGTCCAGGAACACCGTGTCCCTTCCCTGAGATGCACGCGGGTACAGACTTGCCTTTTAGGGATCCAGGTAGGAGGAATGAGACTAAGTCTCCGTGCACCTTGGTCTGGGGGCTGCAGCCCAACACCAGCTGCTCAAGCCATGTATTGCAGCCAGGTAGGGCCCTTCCCAGCAATTCCCACCGCAGGGGACCCTCCCAAACCATGCACTGAGGCCCTTTCTGGTGTTTGAACAGTGACACATTGTTTTCTTCTTGAAAAAAGAAAAAAAGTAACCGTTCTCAACTACTAGACACCACCTAACTGTTTAGGGTAATTGCTGTGAAAAACCCTCCAGGCTTTTCCAACTGCCAACTCTACTTTTGGAAAAAAAAAATGCAAAACTGGAAAAGTGAAAAAAAAAAAAAAAAAAAAAAAGCAACCACCCGGTTGGCCTAAGGGAGACCTGAGCCCGAGGCCTTGGGAAACGGGCATCGTGCCGGGAGATGTTGCCGCCCCGGCGCAGGCACCCAGCCGCCTGTCTGGTGGGTGAGAGGGTGACGTCTCCCCGGTTCACACACGGCTTATGTCAACACTCTGCCCCCTCTTCCTCCAGACTCGTCTCCCCGGCTTCCCCATCTGGCCCCGCAAGCCACCCCTTTTCGTTGCCCTTCAGGCGAAGCGCCCTGCCCGGTGGCCCTGCACTTTTCCCAGGCTCCTGTGGGGCGTAGGGTGGCGGGTTGCAGGGGGGGGTGCCACCCTTGGCACTGGGGCCAGTGGGTGCCAGCACCCGGGGAGGGTTTGCTCTATCGCGAGAGTTCTCGGAGGGAGGTGGCGGGACCTTGTGCTCAGCGGGTCATTGGAGTCATTGGGTGGGTGCCTGCTTGGGTTCTTTCTTTTTTGCTGTATTTTCAGGGAGTTTCCCTTTCCCTGGCAGGGGAGGGAGAGTAGGAGAGAGGGGAGAAAGGGAGAGTAGAGGTCAAGTGGGAGCTGCTAAGAGAAAAACAGTAAGGAAAGAGGACAGAAAGGAATGAAACAGTCCCTCTGGTCCTGGTTGAGGTTCGAATCAGGGTCTGTCATGTGTGGCAATCGTTCTCCTTTGTAAAGTGTTTTTTCCTCTATGAAGTCTTCTTCCTGAACCCCTTTTGGGTCATTTTCTGGGGTAAATGAGTCCAGGGCAGGGGATGGGAAGGATGAGAGTATTCCACCGCCCCCCTGGTGGCGATGGGCATCGGCATGAGAATCCAAAGCCTGATTAGATCAAAAGGAACCGGGCCAGAGCGTCTGAGTCATGCACTTCACTGAGGAGGTGGGTGGGCGTCAGCATCCTGTACTCCAGTGGCAAGAGCTGCAGGGCCGGAGGAGCCTTTGCACATTGATTTTGTCAGTTTTGCACAGAGGGTCTCTTGGGTACCCTAAGAGGCCTGATCTTGGGGCTATTTCGCCCCACTCTCGAAGGTGGTCCCATTCTGCAGTTGTGAAGCCTCATTCCACAGGCTTATAGGTCAGCCCACCAGCACGGCTAGTGTGCCTCAAAAAGAAATTACTGTAGATCACTTAGTATTCTAATAGGAAGTGTCGTTTAGGAGGCAAAACCACATGCCGCAGTGTTGGGAATATTTCAGCTGTCCCACTTGGTAGTGCTGGGGACTGAAGAAAACGCCCGCACTCCCCAGGGGTGGGGGACTCCTCTTCCCCAGGGAGCCTTGGAGCTTGTAGGTGCTCCAGGGCACTTCTCATGGGAGCCAGATCTTTTCCCTCCGGTGACAGGTGAGGAAGGGGATTCCCCCCTGTGTAGACACTGGAGGAATCTGTTTTCTAGCTCTGGGTAGGTCTTTGATGGTCTCTGCTCTGGCTTCCCCAGTTAGAGAGCAGAAAAGAAAAATTCCTGACCTGAATTATTGCTTAGTCAGATGGCACAAAGTTTATGAAGTTGCCTTAAGAAATAATCTACCACCTTTTATTAACATCATTATCAATCTGTCATGCCATCCCCTGGCCAACACTTGCGTAAAGTTTGAATTCTCTGAAAGGTCCCCAAGTTAGATCTGAGATGATGAAATCTCCCCCCCCCCCCGTTAGGAATGAAATTACAACACCTTTCGTTTCTAGAATGTTCTTCATTAGAGAACAGGGATGTGATCCTTCTCCAGTGGGCAGCGCTGCCTCCGGGCGAGTGATGCCCACAGACCTGGGGCGGAAAGCTTCGGGGTGTTTCTGGACAGCCGGTGTTGGCTGGCGTCCTGGCCACCGCCCACACTCTCCGCATCGGGCCGTGCCAGCCGTTCCTTTCTCTGAAGCCCTTCAGCAAGGCCCGGGCCTGCCAAGCGATGCTTATCAGCCCCAGAGAGACGAGTGTGGTCTGGTGGTCTGAGTCAGCAAGGGGGGGAGCCAAGAAGGCTCATGTTCTTCCCTGGCACCAGGTTACTTTCTTCTTTCAGGATCGTTGTGATAATCATTTAAGGAAACCCCCCCCTCTCTCCCCCTCCCTCCCTCCCTCCCTCCATCATCTCCCCTTGCCCGCAGGTCAGGGGACCCTCCAGTCTCAGAGACAGAGCGTAGGAGGCCGTGCCGGTTGGTTTCCTACGGCTCCATCGGATCGAGCATGCCATGTAGCACCATTTATAATGGGTAACTTACATGTGGCGACCTCCAAGGTCACCAGTGTTGTCAGCTGGATCCCGGCGGCCTCTGTAGTCCGGAGCCAACAAACATCTTGTGGACTTCGGAGGAAAATATCTGGAAGCCCAAACTGTTTAGAGTAAACATTAGACCCTTTTCCCTCTGAGCTCAGAGTGGGGACTTCTTGAGTTGGCCTCTAATCCAAACGTCGCTGCTGCTTCCTAATCGTTTGTTTTGTTTTGTTTTGTTTTTCCCGATCCAGCCTGTGATTTTTCCTTCCTTCTAGTGTCAACAGCAGAGTGCAAGCGTGATGGGGGGATGGTTGAACCTTGTTCACGGGCTGTCCGTGCTAAAACTGAGCGACGTTTACCGGGCAAGACGCTCAGAGCAAAATGTTCGGGAGTCTGGACGCTCCTGGCTTGGCCCAAAGACAAGTGGACGTGCCAGGGACAGGTCCCTGTGGGCCCTCACTTCCTCTCGGTTCTCTCTGTCCCCCGAGTCTGGAGGTCATTGTGATGTTTCCGTTCCAGAAAGAATTCAGCAGCTTCCTAAAGCCTCTAAGAATCTAGCCTCCCTTGGGAAGGATGTCTGTTCCTTCCATGTTTTCCATCCAGGTTTTCTGCCTCTGTGATCAATATGTGACAAGAGTCGGGGACAGGGGAGAGGACAGGGTTTCCATGTGATTAATGAGATCCCCAAAATACCAGGTTGGGCCATCAATCTAAGCTCAGTTAGCAAATTACTGCCAGCCCCGCATGTATACCCTGTTCCTCTTACAGTGGCCTTTACATACATTCATTCAGTCCCTAGCACAGCTCCGTGGCGTAGTAGGTCTTACGATGTCCGTTTTACAAACGGGAGTCTGAGGATCAGACAGGCTAAGGATGAAGGCACAGCAGCGATTCGCTGGGAAGAGCCGAGATTCTAATTCTGGTCTTTCTGACCCGACCCTGCAGCCCTGAACTGAACGGGTCCAGGTCTTTGTAGTTGTTATTACGTAACGGTTTGAGTGTGGGCTCCTTTTTGTTAAAACACGGGTCTGGGTCATGCAGAGAGGCAGGAAGTCATGCATTGTGCTTGCAACACTGGCTGGCGGGGCGAAACGCGGCCCGCTGGGGGCTGTCGTTAGGCGGTGGCAAAGCAAAGGCCTTTCCTCCTCCCTGGCGTGAGCCAAGATCCTGCGACAGCCCGGCCACCAGGTCGCTCCGGGAACGAGGAAGCCCTCCTGGCCCGAGGGAGCTGCCCCGGGTCTGCATGCCAGGGGCAGAGCTGAGGCTAGAGAGAAGGCGCAGCTGAGGGAAAGCCCACGGGGTGCAGAGGAGGAAGAGGGGGAGGAGGAAGAGGGTTCACAGCAGGTGAACAAAACAGGCACCGGGTCACGGTGTTTCCTGCGGCCCCCAGGCCTCACCTCGTGTTCACGGGAGGAAAGTGCGCGGCGTCCGGAAGTTGTCGCCGTTCCCTGTGTGACAGCAACATGGGGGGCACGGGAAGGGCAGAGCCGTGCGTGGGAGGTCGGACGGCCCCTACAGGACACCCTGGGCACAGAGGGACATTGTGCACAGGGAACGCTGGGGCGGTGGGCCCTGCCCCTCCACAGCCACCACGGTCCCTGCCGGGGCCTGCCATCTCCCGTGCCCGGGAGAGAGCGTGTCTCGCCCAGGCCAGGTGTGAACCCAGCATTGGGTGACAAGAAAGCTCAGTGGTGACCCTCGCCCAGTTCCGTCCCTGTGTGCTACGGCCAGTGGCCACAGAGAGGAGGAGAGAGGAGCAAATGTGTGGGTTATACCACCGTTTACAGTTGTTGTCACGAAGTTCACGGTGCAGGCAAAGCCTGTTGCCTTAAGCACTCAGAAAAAAAAAAATCGATTTCCTGAAGAACGAAAAAAAGAAAAAAGAGAATGTTGAACCCATGTGTAGGAAATGCAGACACGTTGTCTCTTACCGAAGGCGGTAACTGAAGCAGAGAGCTTTGCTACAGACCGTCACTGTTGGGGACATAAATGTGAATAGAGAACCCGCTTCTGACTGTTCTAAACTGCCGTGATTATTAGCCAAATCGGGCCAGTTTAGGGACCCAATGGAGTCACGATCGAACCATAATACAAAGACTTTGGCACGTGCACTCAGGTGTCAAGACAGAAGCAAAGCGCCTTGTCAGACCTGAGTATCCAAACAGGCAGTTGTCCGAAGACTCCTGTCCACGTGCCCTGTGATTGCAGGTCTAGAGCCTTGTCACGCATCCATCAGCTACACGTTTCATGGCAACACGGCTCGTCATTTAAGGCTTTTGTTTTTGAAACAGGGTCTTGCTCTGTTGCCCAGGCTGGAGTACTGTGGCATCATCGTAGCTCACAGCAACCTCAAACTCCTGGGCTCAAGCGATCCTCCTGCCTCAGCCTTCCTGGTTAGCTGGGACTACAGGTGCATGCCACCACGCCTGGCTAATTTTTCTATATATTTTTAGAGGAGGAGTCTCACTCTCGCTCAGACCGGTCTCGAACTCCTGGCCTCAAATGATCCTCCTGCCTCAGCCTCCCAGAGTGCAGGGATTACAGGCGTGACCCACCACACCCAGCCTACTTCGGGGAGTTTAAATCACTTCCAAATGTATTAGAACTTCGTAAATTTGTCTCATATGTGTCTCACATCACTCAGAAAGCTGAAAATTATTTTTTCCTCCTTGTTTAAGGATAAAATAATGATAATCACAGCTGCTTATTGGGAGCGGTGTGTCAGGCAGATGAGGAGGGGGAGAGGTCGCCCTCCCCTCCCCTCCCCTTTGACCCAGACCTGGGTGGCAGGCGACAGTAGGAATAATGAGGCTCACTCAGTGAGATTAAGTCGCTTTCCCAAAATCAGCACATTCTTGCAAGTGCTCCGGGGTAGAGCCTGCAGAACCCTGGGTCCAGCACGTCCATGACTGGTGCAGCTCCTGAGCCACCTCTGTCCCTTCACAGCGTTTCAGCGGTGACAATCGGGCCAAGGGACGCAAACAGAAAAATGCCCGTCCGGGAGACGAGGCTATTTGCAGAGTGTCAGGACCGCAGGTGGGAGCAGGCGGGTGGCAACTGTCCCATGTGTGACCTGCCTGCCTTTCCCTTCCAGTCCAAGATCCATGCGGCGCGGAGTCTGAGCGAGATCGCCATCGACCTGACCGAGACGGGCACGCTGAAGACCTCCAAGCTGGCCAACATGGGCAGCAAGGGGAAGATCATCAGCGGCAGCAGTGGCAGCCTGCTGTCCTCAGGTAGGCGGCCGGGGCCCCCAGGCAGTCCCGGGAGGGCGGGGACAGCCACCGCACGGTGCAGGCGGCTGCCGGGCAGCCTCGCCGGGGGCCGGCTCCGGCTTCCAGACTGAGCTAGGGAGCCAAATGGGCATCTGAGAAAACCGCCCCAAAGTATTACAGGGTGGAGGAAGAAAAATAAATAATCAGGAGAAGCACACAGTGTGGGAAGGACTGTTGGTGACACTTAAGTGTCTTCACGTGACCCCCCCCCCAGGGCCTGTCGGAATGCCGGTGGCTGGCTCTCAGGAATGTCAAGTTCAAGGGCAGAAAGCGGGGTCCAAGTGTGCATCCTTAAAAGGGGAGGGATTACACTAAGGAAGGGCAGATGTTCAGGGTCTGGTGCCGAGAGATGCTATGTTCTATTCCCAGTCGAATTTCTTGGGACCTTAGAAGGCACAGAACACTCTCGGTGGTGCAGGAGAGGAGAGTCTTGCTGTCTCAGGGTATGGTGTCTGGATTAAGCACCTTTTGAAACTGAGAGTTGGAAGATCTGGTTCCGTCGCCTATTTCTGCCAGCCTTGGGCAAGTCATGTTGTCATCCAGTGTCAGGAGGGACCGAAGAGTTTGGGGCCTCAGATCTGGCTGACTTCAAGAGGGGTTTGGGGGTGCCATTCCCCGAAATGGCAGGAAGAGGGAGCAGGTTTGAGCAGGGATGGGAGGAGAGGGAGGTGGCCGTGGTTTGAAAATGTTAGAAAAGTGCAACAGGGGAAAAGCCACGTTGATTTGGGAGCTGGGCAACCTTACTCTCAGGCAAGCAAATAAGGCAAGAAGTGTCTACCCTACCTCACCTCCCTACCTCACCTGCCTACCTACCTCACCTTCCAGGGTAATTTGCATAACTCTATATAGTGGCTGCAAACAGCAGCAAGTAGTAAAAGAGGGAGAGACAGGCAAGGAAGAGGAGCTAAAGTTGGCTTCTGGGCTGGTGTCCGGTCATAGTCAGGAAGAAGTTTAAAGGACCAGGGAGAGGGCAGGCACCTTTCCTGGACTGGGAGGTGGGTGGTTCACTGGGAGTGGGCGGGTGGAGGCCTGTGTTCACCGTGAGGGCCCTAGCAGCATGTTCACGTGGTCATGTGTTTTTGTAAAATCTGCAAATGCAATACCTTTTGTATCGTTTTTCTTAAATACAGCCACCAAAATGATAAAAGCTCCAGGGGTCCCATAAAACCTGGATCTGCCTCTGCGAGGTCACTGTAGGGTCTGCTCTCCACCCCTCCCTGCCTTGGATTCTTCCAGAATGTTTGCTCCCCCCACCAAAAAAATGGGCCCAATCCTCATTCTTTATGGGGCTTGGGAGTGTGCAGTGAAGGCTGCGGAGAATGTTGTCTTCCTGTATCAAAAAGGATGAAATTCAAAACCTAAGACCCCCTGCCTCAAAGTACAGCCACTCCCAGTCTCCCCTGCTGAATGAATAAGGGCAGGGCCGAAACCAGCACCTTAGTTGTCTTTTTAGACACCACATGCGATAGTTTCTCACTCCGGCCACCTGCTGTTCTCCATGTCACGGAGAACCAAAGCTTGGTTCTCCAACTTGGGTTCTCCAGGCCCAGTGGTTCTCAGGCTTGGGTGTGCGTCAAGCCACTCAGAGGAGGTGTTCAAACGCAGGTTGCTGGGCTGTCCCCTCCGAGTCTCTGGTTCTACAGGCCTGGGGCGAACCCTAGAATGTGCATCTCTAACCAGTCCCTGAGCGACACTGATGCCGCTGGTCCAGGGACCTGGCTGTGGCTTTGAGAGCCACTCCTCTGGCTAAAGAAGAGGTGGCAGCTTCAGGTGGGGGTGTGGCTCAGGGTCACAGAACCCAGATAGTCCCACTGCCTTTGCACTCGGGTGTCGAGTGTTGGTAGCAGCTCGTATGTCGGTCCACACTCGACACGTAGTTTCACCTCTCGAGGGGCAAAGGAGGATTTTTGTCTTTTTTTCCAGTGTCTTTTCTTGTTTTCATTAGCATGAAACGGCAAGTAAAATGTAAATGCAGAGATGGTACACTAACTTCCAGGGGTGGATTATTATCCCACTAACTTAAAGCATGTTTAGATGGGAAGCTCCATATAATCACACCTCACCTAACATTTGATTGTGTTTGTTGTTCGAACGAAAAATCGGGGGAAGAGAGAGGACATGTATGTGTGAAACAGGTCTTCATGTGGGTGAATGTTTCAAAAAATATCACACCATGAAAAATTAGAGAGTTAAATGACTCTTTGAATGTATCAATATTTGAAATATAAAAAAATCAAATAAGTTTGTATGAAAAGAAACTCCAGTTTGTATTCTACTGCTGCACTTTGTAAATCTGGGGTATTTTAAAATTAAATCCCGAGTTGAATAAAGGAATCGAGAAAAAAGCAAGCGAGTGCAAAGGGTTAATTAAGCCTGTATCCTGGTCCATCCGCATGGGCCCCCATATCTGGCAGCCTCCGGGGGACCCAGGCAATATCCTACCGGCAGCTGCAGATGAGTTTATGGACCAGAGTCCCAGCCTCCCCTGATGAAACTGACATCACATACCCGTCAGAAATGAAATCCACTTTAAGACTAGAAAGCAATACGGCCGGGCGCGATGGCTCATGCCTGTTAATCTAGCTCGGGAAGCCGGGGGAGGATTATTTGAGCTCAGGAGTTCGAGACCAGCCTGAGCAAGAGTGAGACCCTGTCTCTACTAAAAAAAAAAAAATAGAAACAAATTAGCTGGACAACTAAAAATATATAGAAAAAATTATATGCACCACCAGGCATGGTGGTGCATGCATGCCTGTAGTCCCAGCTACTCGGGAGGCTGAGGCAGGAGGATTGCTTTGATGCCACGGCACTGTAGTCATGGCAACAGTGAGACTCTGTCTCAAAAAAAAAAAGACTAGGAAGCAATACATCTCTCTTCTTTCCCACACGTTGACATTGATGATCAATCGTATGGGCTAGAAGAAAAATCACAAGAAAATCTTCTGGCTGAACCGACCCCTACACCTAACATATAAGCATCTTTATCCCAAGATATCAAAGTGATTTTCAAGAGTTTGAAAATTCAGCAATGGGGCCCCAGGCTAAGGTGTTCAGGAGCTGACGGAAGCAGCAAAGGCCACTTGCAGGGTGGCTCTGCTGCCGTCAGCCCTCTCTGCTGCTGTACGGCTGAGCAAGAAGGAACACGGGCCGAGGAGGCCTGGTGACTAAGCCAGAGAGCACGGCCGACTCTCCCAGCCCTGCAAGTTCGAGCCTGAAACACTCGCCCTTCCATGCCAAGGTCACGGCTCCTCAGGGACGCCCCACACCCGCCTCCCGTGACTCGGGAGAGACAGGACATCCCATCAGTTGGACAAAGGGCATTTCTGGGCTCCACAGAGCTTGTCCTTCCTTCCGCTAAGACTGTTGACGACCGCCGCTCTGTTGTCCCTTGTCCTGGGAGGAGGAAGCCTTCATCTGGGCAAGGCCCGTGGCAGTCCCCCCTGGAAGGGACTGACGCCACGTCCCCCACACTGGGGGACTCTAGCGCTGGGCCTGCGAATCAAGGCAGCTGGCCAGTCTCCCACCCCTGTCCTCCCGTCCTCTTGACTCAAATGTGAGGCTAGGACACACGAGGACAAGCCCCCAGGCTTGCTTTTCCAGAACAGCCCTGATTTTTAACACTCTGCCGATTGCACCTGCCAGACCGTGTATTCTAACTGTCGTTCAGAAAATCTGCTAAGTATAAACCAGTGTCCAATTTGGTCAACTCTTTTCTTCTCTTTCACCTCCTCATGAGATGGTGTCTAATATAAATATATCTTAAGAGCATTTGGAGAAACGGGTCACCGTTTGAAAATTCTCAGTGCGTGACACCCTGCAGGCGCTCAGTGCCCAGGCATCAAAATTAAATGTTGATGAATAATAGACTCCTGCACGAGCTGCACTTTAAGAATCTTTTATGTTCCCAGAGCGTTGTGGTGTCTTGCGCCTTGCGAAGAGCTCTCCTGTGACCTGCCACCAACATTGTCCCTCAAGTTGCTCTGCAGCCCTTCGTCATGCTGGCCTGAGGCATTTAAAGGTTAATCATGTCAGAGCAGGCTCCTCTGATAGCATTGATCCTTGTCATCTTTTGTCACCCTTCAGCCTTTTTCTGTGCCAGATCGTCGTGCCTCTGAGCCTTGTAACAATATTTCTGTGGTGGTAACGTTCTTTCTAGCTCCCAAACTCTGCTAGCTACTATACACAGCATTTTAAAACGTACAGCCCCTCTCTGCTCAGAGTTTGCATATACTGTTCATTGATGCTAAAACAGAGATAAAATACGTCCGAGCTATTAGTAACTTTGCAAGTGATTTTCCTATGTAAGGGCACACAATGACCTCTAAGATTATTACCAAAGTCTAGTATTTGGTATCTGAGGCCTCGAGATGCTAAAGAAATGAAGAAATGTCATTGATGTCTCTTAAAACAGTCAGAAATCCATACTTTCCAAAGCTCTGGGCCATGGGCTAACATTTCCAAAAGAAAAGGTCAAAATGATTTTTTAAGGCTTGGGGCCAGGACACGCTGAGTCCTGCAGCAGTGACACACAGAGCTGTCCCCTGGGCGACCCGTAGCCCTGTGTCCTTGTGGGGACTCTGAGACGTGGGTATCGGACTATCTGAGTCAAAGCCCTCAGCCTGTGTTGGAATAAAAGCCATCAGATTGTCACCTCCTGACTGGCGTTCAGATCTGAGCAAGGGTCTGGAACCCCCGTCCTAAATCTGTTTGCAGAGGGCTCTGCAAATCTGGCAGTTGGCTGCTCCAGTGGACAGGGCACATTTTATTCACGCTGTCCTGTGAGAGGGACTCACTGTTCCCTCCCCGTCTGTAGCTGCCTCTGTCCAATTGCTTTTGCTCACAAGTGCTTCAGGCAACAGCTTTTCAGGAGGTTCAGATAGGGTTTGAGAAGACAACCATGCATTCACGCCATTTGCTTAGGATGTTTTCAGGGTTAAAACAAAAAAAAAAAAAATCCAAAT